TTGTCATGGAAAAGTATACTAATGGAAATTGCTTGTAATAGAAGTAATTCTAAGGGTAAATTTTATTATAATTAGTGACCTGTCTATTTTTTTTATACGTAGATGTTTCAGGTTTAGAGAATAAATTGGTTGAACGCAAAATCTGGAGGAAGTACCTTTTTCCATACACAGAATATGCCCATCAAGAATACTAGTCCAAATTTGCTTTAATGGTAGACAATTATTCAATACAAATTAACTTTTTTAAGTGACTTAAATATTAAATAGTTTAGAATATGGTATAACAATGTAAAAAAATACTATTTTCAGGAACGATTAGGGCCCAATATATTTGAAACTCATGTTGGACGTAGTACTGAGTTGGGTAGAATATTATTCTATGTTAAGTGAGGGTCTATTATTGTACTGTATTTTAATATATACATTAGAATTGTTGGTTACTTCATATTTGTTTTATTTATTATTTTACTTACAAGTTATATAGTTAACACTAAAATCTTCTCTGTGGTTTAATGCGTGATTACATTCACATGATTTGTTTTTCCAACACCCGAAAACTATACTGCATACAGGACGGAAAACAACACTCTAAAAAACATAATCGCAAGTGCTAGACAAAACTACGAAAAATCTATCGCCTCTTCCAGCTCACCAAAACAATTTTTTAAATATATTAATAGGACTCTGTCTACAAAAGTATCCAGTTTCACTCTTAAAAACCCCAACAATGGATTACCTATCATGGACGACTGTGACATTGCTGAGGAATTTGCACACCGGTTTGCATCAGTCTTTACGACAACCAATGACTCTTACATTCCAACGCTTTCACAGAGTTCTAGGCTTCTGCAAGAGATTACTAACATAGAATTTACAGAGCTCAACGTTAGCGAAGCCATAAAATCATTAAAAACTGACAGCAGCCCGGGTCCAGATAGTGTACCGACTGTTTTTCTTCAGAAATGTTGTCATGCCCTCGCACAACCTTTAGCATGTCTATTTAATGATTTACTAATATCTGGCAAATTTCCAGATACTTGGTCTCTTTCTTTCGTTACACCGCTTCACAAAAAGGGAGACAGACAGTTAGCTGGTAATTACCGACCAATTAGTCTAACTAGCTGCATCTGTAAATGCATGGAAAAGGTAATCATCCGCACACTTACTCCATACCTAATGGAAAAAGATGTCTTACCCAGCACACAGCATGGATTTCTTCCTGGTCGATCCACAATAACGAACATGACATCTTGTCTTAGCGATTGGACAGCAGCCTTTGATAGAAACCAACAAACAGACGTCATCTATCTTGACTTTGAAAAGGCATTTGATAAAGTACCCCCCAGATGCTTCTTTATAAACTAAACCACTACGGCATAAGAGGGAATTTATTCAAACTTATATCAAACTTCCTAACCCGACGCTACTTCCAAGTCAGAATAAACGGATCTCTTTCAACTAAACACAAAGTGACCAGCGGTGTTCCTCAAGGCTCTGTGTTGGGCCCACTGTTGTTCCTCCTGTATATCAGCGATCTGGCAAGAGGCATAAAAACGAATATCATATTTTTTGCGGATGATACAAAGTTATATGCAAATCCCGAAACGAGCTACGTCAATCTTCAGCATGATCTAAGGTTGGTGGAATCCTGGGCCAAACAATGGAGAATGAAACTGAATGAGGACAAATGCACTGTTCTTAGCATTGGAATGAATTGTACGCACAAAACCTACACCCTAAATGAATTAAGTCTAAGACATGTAGAACAACAGGAAGATCTAGGGATTACAGTTACTGGAAACCTAAAATGGTATGTGCATATATCAAAGATTACTAAAAAAGCAAATTCTCTTCTTTATTTCATTCAAAGAGCATTTCAAGACCGCTCTATTGATCTTATTTTAAAGATATACAAGTCCTACATTAGACCCAAAATAGAATATGGTCAAATAATATGGAGTCCCTATTTTCAGAAGGATATTGATCTCATCGAGAAAATTCAACGCAAGGTGACAAAAATGCCCCATGAACTTAAGGATCTAGAGTATGAAGATCGTCTTGCGATGTTAAATCTCACCACATTAAAACAGAGGCGTTTGCGGGGGGACTTGATAGAGACTTACAAAATTCTAAATTGTTTCTACACTTGCCCATTAAATATATACCATCCTTGCCAAACTCCACAACTTAGAGGCCACAGCAGACGCCTGGAAAAGGAAAGATCGTCCAAACTCCAGCGAAAAAATTTTTTGACTAACCGCATAGTGTACCCGTGGAACTCGCTGTCAGAAGAAAGTGTTTCAGTACCAACTCTCAACTCATTTAAAAACAAAATTGATCAAGAAATGAATACCTTGAGTTCTGTACATTTGCATTACGGCCAGTAAACTCGAAAAAATTACGCGCAACATAAAAAGACAGTAGACTCATCGGTATTTTTATACCGCTTTCTATTGTGTAAATAATAATAATAATAATAATAATAATTTCAAGTTTTTAAATTATAAATATTATAACTGGCTTTAAAAATTCCATTAAACTGTTAAAAGTGTAATTTATTTCAAAATAAATATATATAGGTATATATTAATATCGAAAAACTTTTATTTCCTTAACACCAATTTAGTCATCACATACATATGTATAAACATTTATTTACGTTATTGCAAATGAAGACCACAGGAAAAACCAGCTTTGTTCATTTTAACTGGAGCCGAGAAAATGCAATTACGAGTGGACTACTCTGATTTTTCTCCTGTAGGGCAAAATAACTAAGCTGTAATATCTCCTGGACTAAGCGTATTATTATTGCTTTCTTTGATGGTGCCTCGAATAATGCTAACACTTGCCTATAAAGTTGTGTCGCTATCAATTTCTATGAAAATGTAACATATCTGGTTTTTCCCGTGTAGTCTTGAAATGATCTAAAAATTCAGCAGGAATGACCCATTATGCAGCAAACACACTGATGTTGAATCATTGGAAGCTTTTTTGTGAGCATTTCACAAATAAAATCAAATGTCTGATCAAAAACTGAAAATGCAAAACAGTTAGTAAGCTTTATAAATACATACATATATATTTATATAAATAATCATACCTAGATCTATTTATGTCGTACAATCCAACCAATATTTTAATATCCTAACCCAAGTAAATAATCAAAAATGCACTTTTTATATCAAAAGCAGTAATGTTACAGGGTTCCAATTAATATCCAGAATTTAAAAAAAAACACGATTCTAATTTTTATTATTTTTCAAAATACGTATTGTCTGATAGGCAATTACAAAATATAAATTTGATGTACCTAAATAGAAAAATATGATGTAAAAACAGGTAAAAACTCTTCGGTAAAAAAGGGTAAAACCTTGGTAAAACCATCGTAAAACCATATACAAACAACAACAAAAACTCTAACCAAAGATTTAACCGTCATACGACAAAAGCATCACGTGATTGCACAATACCCAACGATAGGGCACGTACCTTTTACATCTGATTGGACGGTTGGTTGCGTATTTTAATGTATTCTGTGTTTATGGGGTTGAACTATACTACCAGTTAAAATACTTGCACTTATTTCTGGGACACCCTGTATACACGAGTAACTATATTGTTGCCTGTAAACATAGAAATTAAACAACTTAAATCTTGAATGTGCTTGAATGTAATAAATAGAGAACAACGGCATACGGTCAAGTCGGCCGCTGCTGGCACGTATACGTAGACGTAAAGCATCTTTTACGTGTATAAAAAATAAAAGATATAAGAAATGCGCATGCGTACGTAAACGTTTACGTGTTTGTAGGCCGACTCGACCGTATGCCGTTGCTCTCTATTGTCTCATATACCTATGATGGTAGATGGTACAGGAATGATACAAATATTATTCTAATAGGTTTATAATTATTAGGTACCAGTATATGTGACGAATATAATATAAGGATATATTTAGAAAATAAAAAACTGGCTATGTGTCCGTATCAGAAAAAAAGTGAAGTGCTAAAATTTAGATTCGTCCATTTCGTCAAAATAGTTTTATAGTCCTCAAATATTTTTTTTCATAATCGATAATTTCGAGGTATCCAAACCTCTATGATCCAAACCGAGATAGAAGTGGTGATCCCTTCAATATCTCTGTATCCAAATCATTTTCCAAAATTTAATTTTTATCAAAATCCCTGGCATGTTATATATTTTGGTAAAGGTGTGGATCCGGTGGCTGACCTTGAAGCCCATATTTGCTGCATTTGATCATCGATACTACGCAAGCGCACATCGTCGATGTTGCCAAATTGCAGTTTATTTTCGAATTATTTGCATTTTTTTTTGAGTGTTAATCAATAATAATACCCTTGATTATGTATAAATAGATATACAATGAGGGCTTAGTAAAATCCTATCTTCTAGATGGCGCCTTGCCCGTTTTGCATTTTTGTATTCTCCTACGATTTTCTTTGAGGGGAATCCGTTAAACCCGCCCATCGTTCAAAAATGGAAGGGCGCGAGGTCACGTTTTTATTCTTAATCTAAGGTCACATCTATTGGGCTACTCTTTGAATAAGAAGACTAAGGAAGGAGCATAATGCTATCCATGTATTCATGCATGGTGGGCGTAGTTTCTCTTATTACCCATTCTGAACCGTCCTAGAACTGTGATGCGTATGCGCAGAAGAAAATATGAAGACATTATTTCATTTGCGCATGCGCTGCAGAGTTCTAGGACGGTTCAGAATCGGTAATAACAAGAACCCGAACAAAGCTTGTTATTCTGTTATATTGACAACACTCAAAAAATCGTTAGTTTTTTACTGAAAATAATTGGAAAATAACCTGCAATCTGGCAACACTGAGTATGTGCGCTTGCGTAGTATCTGTAATCAAATGCAGCAAATACGTTCAAGGTCAGCCATCAAAACACACCTTTAATCGAGATCGAGATATTTCAAAAAAATATCAATTGATATCGATATTTTTTGGACATCTCTAGTTTACAACTGTCATTTTGACAGCATATAAATTTAAATCCATTTTGAATCAAACAAACATTTTAAACGGTTTTTAGTCTGTTTCTTGCATTGTATATTATTTAGATGATTTAGAATCATAAAAAATATTAGATATTTTTGGTATAAGTAGGTTTCTATTTTGAGATGGGTGATGTTTCAGAATTTTTCAAGATGCATTTAAATTTATTTAATAAAGCCAGTGTAATGGGTCAGAAATCTAACGCAAACAGGAAAGAGTTTGAACTTTTAAGAAAATGTAAACGGGATACACTTATGAAATTTAGAAGAAATATTCCAGAGAATCCCAGCCCATATGTTACACCCGTGTCAAATAAAATTAATGAAACACAATTGCAAAGAAACAATCAACAGTTTAATGCTAATAATAATAACTCTAATTCTTCGGTTCCTGCCAAAAAAATAGTTCCAAATAAGAGATTAGAGCTTTTAGCAAAGTGGAAAGCAGAAAAAGAGGAACGTAAAAGAGTTGAAAGAGCTAAAGCGAAGCCAATTTTTAAGATTTGTCATGTATCTCGTGAAGCACTTCCAGATGTTTCAAATGCCAATAAAGTTATTAAAGGTAAAGTATAAAATTTGAAAGTAATATACAGTATTATCAAAAACGATTTTTGATTAAGCTGGTTTTCATATTGGGAGTAATAAATAATCTACTTATAAAGTTTTTAGATATTGTAGTCTTGAAAAACTTATAACTAGTTAGTATTTAATTTCGTAGTTTCTTGTATATACATATTTTGTAGGAAAACCTATTGTTACTCTGTCAAAAAAAGAACATCATCAGTTTGCACCCCCTAATCATAAATTTAAACCTCCATCTGGAATAAAGCCATTTGAATTTACGTTATCGCCGGCAAAATCGCAAAAGGACTTTTGTTTAATAAGCAAGGCAATAAATACACTTGCTGAGGGAAAAAGTAAGTAAATATTTCATATGGATTTTACTTTATAGGTATAAACAATAATTTTTTTACTAATTAGAACATTAGTCAAATTATTTATCCTGTACAAATCGTCAAAACATTATGGGTTCTTTTTGGGGTGTGTGTGGAAATTCACTAGTACACAGATTTACTTAGTATGACTTAAATTTATTCAAAATCAATAAGAAAGATAATTGGACTGACAAAAAAGTAATCTTGTGTATAAATTTACAGATGATCTGAAAATATATTACACATCAGTCACAGAAACCATAAGAAATGGTGAAACAGTGTTTATACTTAATTTCTTTTGACCAGCTCTTTTCTAATGCAATCTTCAAGGGCAAGTGAATCTTTTACAGGCTAGTTTACAATTTTACATGCATTGGATTATATTAATATCATTTCCCTCTCCATCCACGCGATAGTCAAATCACCCAAATATATCCCTCTCGCATTTCGCCAGTACATGGTGTTCTATTTTCGGGTGTTTTACAAGATTCCCTGGATCCTGAAATACAGGACGAATTTGAAAATTCTGCATTTTTTGCCCTCTTTGTATCTCGGTTATCTTATAACTTATCAAAATGATGAAAACTGAGTCCCATAGAGTTTTTCACGTAGAAATTAGTGAGAACTAGGTTTACGTTGGGAGCTGTCATTCTTGAAATATGACCCAAATTTGTGTTTTTTTTTAAATGGGATACCTATCCTGTATATTATTTTTTAGTTTATTTGCTTTGTTATGAGCTTTCTAAAAATATTGTATCCTCTATACTTATTTTCCTAAACAAGGTCTAAAATGTGTTATTTAACTTTTCAACATAGGCAGCGGGTTAGGTAATCAAAACAATCAAATAATTTATTTGACGTTAAATTTTGGATATTGGTGTTGTTATTGGTTATTGGTCATACCACGCGGGTTTCTGTGTGTCGAATTATTGCACAGGTCAAAAATATCACTAACTGACTAAGGGTGCGTCCACACCATCCTAGAAAAAGCGGATCTGCGGATCGGCGTATCAATATTCAGCAATTCTATTAGCTGATTTTTTTAAAATTTATCTGTCAAAAATTTCAGCCTTAGGGTACAAACATCGTGGGGCATCTCGATGCGATGCTCGCCAAGACGCTGGCCGCGCTGCTCGCCAGGATGCTAGCCGCGATGCAGCCTACGCGCACTGTATTAAAACGGCGAGTAAGTGCGCGTAGGATGCATCGCGACTATCGTACAAACATAGTGCGGGGCATCTTATCTCGACGCGATGCGCGCCATTCACCTCGCCATCCGGCGATGCTGAAACAAACATGTATAAATATATGCATCAAAACATACTGGAACCACGCACCTCGCCACGCACGAAGTCCAGACATAAAGTATATATTAGGATGTATTTGAAGAAAATATTTGAACTTCTACAGGGCGGCTCAAAAAAGTGTGAGTGGATAGCTAATATTTTTTTTTAAATGGAACACTTATATACAGGCTGGCGCATCTCATTCGCCTTGGTTGATTATACGAAAACGGAAAGATGTAGAAGCAAAATATTTTATGGGCATATGTAGGAAGGCAATGGTGCATAATTTAAAATTATTTCGAAATGTACAGGGCATGTCAGAACTAAGATCCACGCCAAAGTTATATTTTTTCTTATGGAACACCCGGTTCCAACCCTCAACTGTAATTTGGATCCTTGGACACAAAATAAGGCATTTATTATAAGGGTTAAATATGTTTACAAAAAGTCCAATGCTCTACCGACAGAGGACGGCCCCTTATTGTGAAAAAAAAATGTTTACAAGCTTTGGTTTTATATGCTTGGTGTTTGGATATTTAAAGATATTTAAATATGCATGCTACAATAGAATAGATTATCAACACCCTGTACATTACTTTTTAGAATTAATTCTTGTGCTGAGTTTAAAGATAGAAAAATAGACTTTACTGAAAAATTGTATTGCTCCTAAATTTATACAGGGGTACCAAAAATTGGTGATTTATTTTAAATATTTATTTTACATAAAAACCTTGTTATTTCAAATACAACATCCTGTATTTTTTAAAATAAATCGAAGCAGATTCAAATGCAAAGAACTATATTAGGGTGTCCTATACCTATCTGGCTCAGATTTTGAATAAAGAGTAATTTTCCAATAAAATGGCAACCAAGAGGGCTGATGTCGTCATGGCAAGTTTCTAGTGACAGTTAGTAGCTATTTTCAAAATCGAAATTAGTTAATGGACTTTATTTAAATTTATAGCAAGTACTTTAATTACTAGTTGATTAAAAAAAGTATCCCATTAATATTGCAAATTATATTTTATCCTCTCATAGTACAGCAAAGACTCGATAATCTGGATCAATTAAAGCACAGGTTAATCCGGATTAATAAAAAATCCGGATTATCGCGATTTGAATTTTTATACACATATATTTAAAAAAAACGATTAAAATAAAACATTTTTATTAGCAAAACCTTAAACAAATATAATTTAAGTAAGAATAAGTATATTCTATAACAAAACTCGTTGTGAATAGGAACATACATCCTATAGATACCAAAGTATAAAATACATACTAGATTATTTAAAATAATCAGAGATTTTACTTTGTTTTTTAAGTGCATTAACTGAAGAATGCTTAACTATAGCTTCCTCTTGTATATTTTTTAAGACAAGAATATCGTTAATACTAAGATTATTATTAGACATTATCTTCAGCCCACTGCAATCCCAGTGTAAAATATTTTATTGCATCAACGTGCTTGATTTTTTTTGACTGGATATAGATTTCTTCATCGCTGCTGGTCTCGTCGGCGTCGTCTATAACTTCATGTTCGAGATCACCATCCTCTATGATATTTTCAGAGTTTTCAACCCATTGATTCATTTCAGCATTTGTATGAATCTCTCCATCAATTTGCGTCAACATGTTTAAAATATTTTGGTAGCGTTGTTTTACTTGCTCCAATTTCTTTTGCAACTGGCTTAGGGGAATGGGATCATGAGGGTCATAATCTGGTAAATTGCCTGATAAAAGTTTGTGCCAACACTTTTCTAAAGAGGTCGTTGTAACTTTTTGCCATGAATTATGGAGTAGACAAACTGCATCCATAAGATTAATTTGCTTAATGCATTTACCAATATCATCCCCGTCTTAAGTTGCTAAAGGATATGGGCTAAAAGACCTTTTTGGTAGTTTAGCTTTGTTAATCTGATCGCATTTTGATCCATCATCGGTTGAATCAAAGCTGTGCAGTTTGGGGGTAGAAACAAAGTGAAAATTTTCCCATCTTCACTAATTAATTCCTCCTCAGAGCAGTGACTGGGCGCATTATCAATTAACAGTAATGCTTTTTCAGGAAGTCGTTGGCTTTTCAAAAATGATTTTACTTTTTTTTGGCAAGTAATTTACCACTAACACCATTTTTTAGTTGATCTAATATTTCACTTTTTTTGTTTTATCGTCAAAGTGATATGTTTACGTTTCCCCATTCTGAACTAGGTACCTACGTTAAAACACTTCCGGCCGTCAAATTATTACGATATAAATGAATTACCGCTTCGAGAGAACCTGCCTCAGTATGTTTGTGCCCTTAGTTACGCCGCCGCCGCGCCGATCTGTTAATCCAGCCTTTCTTACGATGGTATGGATGCACCCTGACATCTTGTTCTACAAAACCTGCACAAGTTCATTTTTAGTACAGTTTGTTAAGATAACCACGATGGAAAACAAAATTATCTGATTAAATTCTATATAACATTATAAATACTGTATTTCAGGAACCAAGAGAGCTATGACAAATCTAGGGTTGCCACCTTTTTGCAAAATAAAAAAAAAGACATTGGACTATGAAAAAGGACCGGATGGGGGGGCGCTAATTATAAATCGCTACTTTAAAATTTTCAAAAGCTCTTTTTAAGGTCAAAGTGGTTAAAAATAAAACCTAAACCTGTTAATATTCGATGTCTAAACTATCATTTCAGATTAAACGACGAGTCCTAAATAATGTTGCCGATTCTAAACAATAGTATACTAATTTTTAACTCTATGAGTATACCTACCGCTTTATTAGGATTAAAAATGATACTTTTTGTGGCTAGGCTGTACGATTGACATTACAGGCGAAGCACAAGAAGTAATTTTTACTCTGAATAGAACATGCTATTTTTTTTCAAACGTTCACAAATAATTTTTTAAACAATTTCCAACGTTGCACATAATATAAAAAGATTTAAAAGTAATACTCTTGGTAATACCCTGGAAGTAATTATATATCGAGAAATTATGGTTACACTTTTTGAATTTTCTACTTTATGTCAGTTTAATAATATATTATGAATATTTTCGTACTTTTGTGCTTAGGCGTATAAAGGTTTTACTTCTATGCCTAGACGTTAAAATGACTTTTTTATATTGCAATCACTTCGCAAAAATTAATACTTTTTGACGTTTGAAAACAAACATTTATCTATAAGTTATATAATATATCTAACTAAATTCCTCCTTAGTTCGCAAATCTTATTAGTAAAATTGATTTTTTAATTGTTTGTAATATATACAGGGTGTCAAAAATAGTGTATCTAACTTCGATAAAATGCACCCCGAAGAAGATACAGCATTGAAAGGGTATTTTCTAGAACAATATATTGAAAGGGTACTTTCTATTAGGGTAGAGAGTACAACTGGTGGTATTTTTCTATCTTTATAGATAAAGTCTAATAAGACAAATGACTAAATGATAACTGAATTATGAAAAGCTAGGCTACTTTTTTATGTAAGAAAGATGTTTAGTTTGAAACTCTTCTAGTTTAAAACGGCGAACGGTTTTTAAGATATCTGCGTTTGGTTAAGATGCATCGAATGCATATCAACGAAAACGATTTATCAATGTTCTTAAAAATAAACAAAATACATTGTTTTTGTTTTTTGTTTTCGAAAGGTTATACTTTCGAGGTCTGTAACTCCTATGTAGGTATGTTCATAACTTTTTGTTTTATTTTCTGTAGAATTATACACCGAAGTTAGATACACTATTATTTTGACAGAGAGCTACGTCGAAATTCCGGTTCCCGATAGATCACCGAAGTTAAGCGACGTAAGGTGATACTAATGGATGGACGCGTGATCGTCTGGAAACTCGTGCTGTTGTTCCATGGCAAGAGTAAATCTTTTGACACACACTGCTCATCACGCCGCACAGTGGAACGGATTAGCACAAAGTGAGAGACAATAAAAATAAAATAATTTTTTATTTTTTTTATAATTTAACTGCAATCACTGTCACCGTCCGCTACCGTGATAATTATGGAAAAAAAAACAAAAGTTGAGCGTACGGACAAGTCGTTTTTTGATAGTTGACTATGGCAAACATAAAGGGTATTCCTTGATAACATGTTAATATTTAAAGGGGCCATTCTTGAACCTATTCTATGTCCTAAACGTTTTAACTTTTGAGATACAGGGTGGTAAAATTTAAAAAAAAATATATTTTTCCATAATAACTCTGATGTTATTATAGATATTTTTATGAACCTTGATTCACGTTTTATATGCAGCAAAACGTCTTTTTGATATTCAAATAAAATAATTAATGCAACCAGTGGCGTCCGCACGAATTTTATATACCGGGTGGTATATGCTACCGGGTGCGTCTCAAAAGTGGCTCACCCCTATACCTTTTTTTATTTTTTTCGGATAAAAAACGAGATTTGGTATGTTAGTATATGACATAAATTAGGATTGATTGACATATTTAATTGTTTTCGGTCACTTTCGGTTTTTATTCGCTAGAAAATGACACTCTGAATCGAATGACATATCATATGTTTTGACTTCATATCATATCACATTTTTGCATATGATTTATTTGAAATTATGACATTCGGTTCATAACGACAATTTGACTCGAAATACCAAGTGTATGGTATCAAATTATTCGTAAAAAATGCTGTTTCCAAATATGCCAATGAGCCACCCTCGTTCCATTTGTAAAAATTGAGATTTGGGCAAACGATTTGGGCATCTTTGAACCGACCAGGATAAAACACAAAAAACATTACACGATCAAATCTATTTTTCCAAGGCTCCTTGATTAAAAATTAGTGCTTTTTATACAACCGTGGAACTCTAGATTGAAATTTAAAATACAATTATTGTTTTAAGCGAAAATGTCAAAAGTTTTTATAGTATATATATATATTTTTTTATAGTATAATACCTAGGGTGCCATTTAAAAATCAAAAGTTGTAGTAATTTCCGGTGAAACAGGAAGTGACCGAAAACAAATGAATACGTCAATTAATCCTAATTTATGTCATATACTAACATAGCAAATCTGGATTTTTTATCTGAAAAAATAAAAAAGTTATAGGGGGTGAGCCACTTTTGAGACGCACCCGGTATAGAATATATTTCGAGAAAAAATGGTATGACACCGATTTATCTTAAAATGAAAATAATTTTCAGAATCTTTATTTATTTATAAACAATTTTTGTCTTAATTATTTTCGTTGGACGCATAGTTTTTGCTTAAAAAATTAAAGTACTTCAGGCTCAAATTGCTAAAAATTTGATGTGGTGATTGTTGTGTTGAAATCATTTCTACTTCGACTGGATGGAAATTGAGATACAAGAAACTTTTATTACTAAAATAAATACTTAAAAATAATAATTTTTATGCATAGAAGCTGAGCATCAAATTTCATAAAGACATCTATAATAACATCAGAGCTATAATAGAAAAACACTTTTTTTTTTGAAAATTTACCACCCTGTATCTCAATAATTAAGATGTTGAAGATATGCATGTTTATTTTATGCCACACCCTAATGTGTACAAAAACTTTATTATTTGTAAAAAGCATATTCAAGTACATGTTTTATTTATATTTATTTTAAGCGAACTTTATGAAACGGAGGAGATGGAACTTTAGGAGAATTGAGATTTGAAGTTTATAATTATCTATATCTATGTTTAACCGTTTAGAAAAATTAATTTTGTAAACAGAAATAAAAAAATATATAAATTATTATGTTTTCAAGTATAAAAATCTGTTTCATTGACAAGAATGCAAATATAAGTAATTTTTTTTTCAAAAATAATACAATGTCTCTCTGTCCTCATATAGCCGTTCTACTGTGCACCGGTTTGAGGCCGGATGAGATCGGATATCTCATAAGTAAGAGTCGATTTAGACACTCGCCAAGTCGGTAAGCCATTGACCATGATGTGGCCGAGGACCGCGGTTTGGATTCCGCGTAAATGAAGTGGGCCCCGTCCAGATTAGCTCTAGCAACAAAAGAATACGTTAATTTAAAATTTACTTTACTTTACTTTTTTTGACACCCTGTATATAACAGTTGTATTATAGATATTTCTGAGTCTTTACTACATTATTTCTTTTTTAGAAATCTTGAAAAATCAAATTATCAAGAACATCGAAACGAGTAGTGCCTTAGTTGTTCCATCTACACACAAACAGAATAAATTAAATTCACATATACCTGAGAAAAATAAGTTATATACAAACGACACTTCAGCTTCGACAAGAATTACTCGGAATAAGTCTAAGAATCTAAAAAAAAATTTCAATACAAAAGTCGATAGTAGTATAGTTTCAAGTACACCTATTGTGAAAAGTAAATCAAATAAAGAATTGTGTAGTGAAACTGGTGGGCAAAAAAAGAACTCTTCCCACCAAGCGTTAAAGAACGTCTCGCAACTAGAAACAACAGATAGTACGTTTTCAAGTACGCCTATTGTGAAAAGTAAATTAGATAAAGAATTATTTAGTAAAACTGGTAGGCAAAAAAAGAACTCTTCCCACCAAGCGCCAAGTAACGTTTCGCAACTAGATACAACAGATAGTACGGTTTCAAGTACACATATTGTAAAAAGTAAATTAAACAAAGAATCATGTAGTAAAACTGGTAGACAAAAAGAGAACTCTTCCAACCAATCGCTAAAAAATGCCTCGCAACTAGAAAGAACAGATAGTACGGTTTCAGGTACACATATTGTGAAAAGTAAATTAAATAAAGAATCATATAGTAAAACCGGTAGACTAAAAAAGAACTCTTCCAACCAATCGCTAAGAAACACCTCCCAAATAGAAAAAACAGATAGTTCAGTTTCAAGATCACCTATTGTGAAAAGTAAATTATATGAAGAATCATGTAGGAAAACTGCTAGGCAAAAAAATAACTGTTCCAACGAATCGTTAAGAAACTCCTCGCATCAAGAAACAACACAGTTTGGAAATAAATTGAATGGTGTTTCTAGCTTGCCATCACCACCAGTGGTCGTTAATTTATCTCCACCAGTGAATAAGTTAGTAGATGTTCCAGTGTACGTAAGTCCATATGTTACACTTTCGCGAGGTAAACGATCTGCCCGTAAGGAATATAAAGTACGAAATTCTTTAGAGATAAATATAAATGATAATGAAATCTTAAAAAATATATCTTCATGTACAAATCCACAGTCGGGTGCAAATTATTTTACAAATAAATTAGATATGGAAATTGAGAAAATCTTATCAATTTGTAATAAATGGGAAACATATTTGAAGGGTCCAGAGGTACCCGAAGAAGCTCGATCTTCCATAGATGTCGCTATTGGCCAGTCAAAATTATTGATTTCAAAGAAGTTTCAACAATTCAGAGGTTTAATTGATCAGTGTAGATCACCGAATGTTGATGAAAAGGCAATTACCTGTTCAGATTTACATGGTTTTTGGGATATGATATATATGCAAGTAGAAGATGTTGAGAAAAGATTTAATAATTTGGATAGACTTAAAGATAATAATTGGGAAGAAATGCTACCAGAAATTAAAGTTCCAGAGAAAAAATGCAGGGGCCGGCCGAAGAAAGTTTCCGCTACCTCTAAATTAAAGAATTTAATTGAAGCTGCTCGGAAACAGAAAAAAAACGAAAATGAATCAGATATTGTTGAAGGCTCAAACAATGTACATATTGCGACAAGAGATCAAATATTAGTTAACGGTTCAGCAAAAAAGAACTTGCGAAACTCACTATTAACGTCCCAAAGTAGACTGTCGTGTAGTTCATCTCCTGGTTTAACAATGATGAAAATATCTCAATCTATTAAACAAGGCCAAGGCGTAACACCTGTTAAAGGTATATTAAAAGCTGAAGTGAACAATTCAACTGGTAAAAAGTCCGTAATTTTTAAGGAAGATTTACTAATAAAAAAATTGTCTAAAATATCGTTATTCAACAATGAAAACAAGGAAAATTCACCTGAAAATGTTAAATGCCCATTGACACCTAGAAGATCTGCTAGATTGAGTAAACTTAATTAATAATTGTTAATGTATTTTACAAATTTTAGTCTAGATTTAAAAATAATACAAAAACAAAGGAAATAAATGATTTTTTATATTAAAGAATTTGTTTTTCTTTGTCAGAGTCTTGAATGTATATGGAAGAGAAATTTAGAAATTACTCTTATTTTAGGGTGCAGCCACACTATCCTAAAAACGGCGTATCGGCGTAACGGCGTAACGACCTTGAATCGATTTCCAGTAATTCTATTGGCTGAAATTTTTGACAGATGAATTTGACAGATAAAATTTCTGACAGATGAATGTTTCAGCCAATAGAATTACTGGAAATCTATTCAAGGTCATTACGCCGATACGCCGTTTTTAGAATAGTGTGGCTGCACCCTTAGATGAAGCTGCATAGCCCCGTTCTCAGAACGACGTCGTGTCGCGGGCGACACGTCAAAAGGACCAATGAGATTTGTACAAAATTCAAACAGCTGTCGATTTTAAATTTAGTACAGCTCTCATTGGTTGTTTGAAATGTCAAACTGTGTAGCCAGCGACACGACGCAGTTCTGAGAACGGGGCTTCAGAACGACGTCGTGTCGCTGGCGACACAGTTTGACATTTCAAATAAATAACGGGAGCTGTACTAAATTTAAAATTGACAGCTGCTTGAAGTTTGTACAAATCTAATTGGTCATCTGTTCTCAGAACAGCGACTGTCGCCAGCGACACATCAAAAGAACCAATCTGATTGGTACAAAATTCAAACAGCTGTCGATTTTAAATTTAGTACAGCTCTCATTGGTTGTTTGAAATGTCAAACTGTGTAGCCAGCGACACGACGCAGTTCTGAGAACGGGGCTTCAGAACGACGTCGTGTCGCTGGCGACACAGTTTGACATTTCAAATAAATAATGGGAGCTGTACTAAATTTAAAATTGACAGCTGCTTGAAGTTTGTACAAATCTAATTGGTCATCTGTTCTCAGAACAGCGACTGTCGCCAGCGACACATCAAAAGAACCAATCTGATTGGTACAAAATTCAAACAGCTGTCAATTTTAAATTTAGTACAGCTCCCATTGGTTGTTTGAAACGTCAAACTGTGTCGCCAGCGACACTTCAAAAGCACCAATGACATTTGTAGAAAATTCAAACAACTGTCAATTTTAAATTTAGTACAGTTCTCATTGGTTGTTTGAAATGTCAAACTGTGTCGCCCGCGACACGACGTCGTTCTGAGAACGGGGCTTGAGATTTGTAAAAAATGTCTGAACAGCTGTCAATTTTAAATTTAGTACAGCTCCTATTGGTCGTTTGAAGTGTCCATCAGTGTCAAGAACAGTTAACCTAATTACTTAGTTTACCGTTATTGAATCAGTGTAGCTGGCGACCTTAGACAAGGAAATAGAGGGGACAAAAATACGTTTAAATTACCTGGTAATTATTGGTAATCTTAACGTTTAAATTATTGGTAATTTAAACGTATTTGGGGGACAGGTAACACGGCAGCTGACAGTGAGGCCACTTGTCACCACGCGAAATTCTCCAATGGCGTAGCATCAGAAATTAGCTTGTACCTAGACGATACAAAATATGTATTAAAACGTAAACTAAATCATCGTTCATTTTTGATTAATGCATATATAATTTTGTATGGTATAGTCTCACCTTTATAATATTAGAATATCTACGTCGATAATGCAAAATTTATTTAACAGTCACAGTGGACCGATTAACAAGACAATTATTTATTTATTAACGTGTGTATAATGTATAATTAAATAAAAAATAATGTACATATATACCGTATGATCGAAAAAAAACGGCATCTTGTTTGTTTGGAAATGACAATTTCACAAAATGAATATTAAAAATTACATTATTCATTGAATCCGTAAGCAAGTGTGAAGGGGATTGGCTAGATTCATTATTATACCGTATGATCGAAAAAAAAAACGACGTCCAGTTGGCTTGTAAATTACGATCGATGACATTCCCCATATAATTCTACATATAAAATGACATAAAAACTATACAAAACGACATCGAAAAAAAACGGCGCCAGCGATGGCTATGAAATGAAGATCGCTGTCATTTTATATGTTGTAACACAGAACTATTATATAGCGCCCCTCTTGGACCGGACCGATCGGACGAGTCTAGTGATGGGAATAATCGAATTATTTTCACCATCGAATAATTAGTAATAATTCATATTTCACAATCGAATTAATAATTCGAATTATTTAGTAGTATTATAAATTTAACCTAAAAATAAATTCGTCCCAGCTAGTGCTCGTCTAGGGGCTATTTTAAACAAATTCTGAACCATTGCCATACCTATATTCTATCACTGAATAAAAAATTTAAAAAAATATTCTTTATTCAATGTATTCTATTAACTGTGCCGAAGCCGTTTAATAAATTAAACCATAATTTAAAGTTTTAAATTTAAAAGTGCCGAGTTTATGATTGTTTCAATTCCTATTGAAAAGCTCATATCTAAAATAAAAGCTTATTCTAAAACGATATAAGTATGTCCTTGTTTACGTGCGGTTCGTATTTCTTTTTATTTTATCAGTTGCAATCAATAATTATTTAGATAAAAGAAGAAAAATAATTTTAGTGTTCGGTGAAATTTGGGTGAGATGGAAATGAACCAAATAATAGTAGTATTCTTTCGTTCTGAACGAAATGAAAATTTTCACTTAAACTGATTTATTCCTACGTGATAGGAAATAACAATGATTTCTGGATTTTTCTATATCGGATCGTTCCTTTCTTTGCCGATTCCCTTTATAAATCAGTTTAAGTGAAAATTTTCATTTCGTTCAGAACGAAAGAATACTACTAATAGTACTATACTAATTACTAATATTCGTATTTGTCTATAAGAGGTTATGTTTTATGTTCATTTGTAATTCGGTTACCACAGATATAATATAAAATACTCGATATAATCTCGATATATCGAAAAAGATAATTCGAATTAGTTAGTTTTAATTTACTATCGAATTAGTCGTATTATTTAATTCGAATTTTCCCAACACAGACGAGTCCATTATCAAGAGAGCGAGGGACAGTAGTCCGTGCTCAAAGGGATTTTATGTGTGCGCGAACGCTCAGTTTGCACCCGCAATTTGTTTTGTCTGCGTTCGTGCGTGCTTGTATGATTTTTTTTCGTTTTCTTTATTAAAATTATTGAGTGGATCAATGAATCTTCGTTATTATTAATTGAAGAATATGAAAAGTTGCCTATATTATGGGATGTTAAACATTTTTTGTATTATTAAAAAATAAAAAAAAACGCATGGCAAGATCTTGTAAATAAAATTAATATTGAATCTGTCGATATTAATGAAATTGCTATTCTAAAACTTGTACCTTTTGTTCATAATTTTTAGTATTATTAAATTTTGTAAATATTCAAAGTCGGGTCTGGTCATTCTTGTAAAGTTTTTGAACTGATCATAGCCCTCCTCAGATACTAACTTGTTGCAGTAAATTATATCGATTTCTAAAAATTTGGCTTTGCCACCAGCGACGATGTTTTCGATTTTTCTCCTTTTTAATAATTAAGCTGTGCATAACAATGACTGCAGCCTCGACTATTTCTTGGTCGTCCATTATTTTCGCCAATACAACTCTGCTGTGCGCGCACAAATGGATCATTTCATTCGTCGAAAAATGAGTTTTTAATTTGAACGGAGCCGAGAGCGCGAACGAATGCCGTGCGCGCACGCTCAGCTCGTGCGTGCTCAAGTCTAAACGCACCATAAACGCACCATAGATCTAAGATGTAAAATATCGTACATTTCTTGGGACCCGTTAGAAGGCTTAATGTTAAGATCGATGCGTTGGAAGCACGAACGCTAGCGTTCGTTAACGTCGATTCAGGTTCTTGGGATTAGAACTAATTAGTGTTTGGGTTAAGACCGGAAGCATGAACCCTCCATTAAGCTTAGTTTTCATGCATATGAATTTCGGGCGGGTTCTGCTAAAAACTGACATATATTTTAAAAAGTTTGAATTTAACGTTTTCATGCATCTGATCATGTAAGGGCGGCAGGTGGCGTGTAAAGGTCCAGCTCTCGTCTACCAATCTAAAGGTTGTGGGTTCGAATCCTGCAGCCGGTTTCAGTTCATCAGGAGACCCTTTTTAACCAAATAAAAATAGTTTGTGTACCTGTCTACTCAGCTTTAAATGTACACTTGGGATTGACAATCCTGAGGTAGTAATAGGCCAGGGCCATGTAAGTGAAATATTAAAAATGGTTCCAGCAAAAGTTTCCCAATTATGACGGATGATGGCGCTGATCGTCAAAATTTTTGGACAGGGATTTTGCTTACCGACAATACGAAGTGAGCTACGACCGGACCAGGACCAGGACCAATCAGAATGATCAGTCTTTCTTGGACATTTGCCGCGGAAGCGTGTGTTAATTTCTGTTGCGATAAGTGTGGTTGTGTTTGCAGTTTGATTTTTCGGTTTTGATATTATGTTAAAATTAATTTTGAAGTATTGTATCACCTGTTTTTATGTAATAGTACTTTTTTTAGTTCTATGATCTGATATGTTATGATTTGTTAACGTTTGTTTAACAATGTTATACCAAAGAGGTTACTTAATATATTTATCAATTTGCATAGCCTAACTTTTTTATCAATAAACTTTGTAGATTTTCAGATTATTTAATTCTTTTTGTTTCCGTTTGTAATTTTATTTTTAAGACATATTATGTGATTGTTTCACATAATATGTTTTAAAAATAAAACTGCAAATAGCGAATAAAAATAACTGAAATAAAAAAGTGTATTTTACAATTCCCCCCGGCCCCGCACCCCTTTGGCTAACCTATAATGTATGTCGAGAGATGGCGTTACGAAAATGGAACCGATTTATTACAAGGAACTTGGGCTTCTTTTTCGTTAGTATATTCTGTGGTAATAGGCGGTTAAAGCGTAGTGCTAGCCACATTACCTTCTTATATATCAAACCGCTCTAGCATGGCAAGCTCTACCTTGCTACTCTCAAGGCTTTACACACTACATACGGAAGTTATTATTATGCATCTGAATAATATTATACGAATTTCTTAGTTAAGCTATAGGTAG